AAAATAAAATCTGTCACTACCTCCATTTATTCCCCATCTATTTGCCATGAATTGAGAGGGCCGGATGCCATGATCTTAGTTTTCTTAATGTTGAGTTTCAAGCCAACTTTTGCACTCTCCTCCTTCACCCGCATCAAGAGGCTCTTTAGTTCCTCTTCCCTTTCTGCCATCCTAAGGACATGCGATGTTGGTGGCGTTTGGCTAACCCCTAGTTCTTTCAAAGTAGGGCGTAAGTTAGGAAGTTGCCCTCCGTTTTCCAGGCCCGGGAGCGGGGGGGGGGGGGGCTTGAAAGATGTGTGAACTTCAACTCCCAGAATTCTCTAGTCAGCATTGCAAAGAATTCTGGGAAATGGTCTGTAAATCTGAAATAAAATAAAATAAAAACCCAGTTGGGAAATGCAAACTGAAATCCTAGATCACCGTTTCTTAACCTTGACAGGTTGAAGATGGATGGGTTTGTTTTTTTTAAAATTCCCAGGATTTTCCCAGCCAGCTGTGCTTGCTGGGGAATTCTGGGAGTTGAATGTTTAGCCGTCTTCCAGCTGCCAAGGTTGGAAAATAATGCCTTAAAAAAAAAAAAAAGAAAGGTTCGTTCTTAAGAAGCAAAAAAAGGTGATCTCATATCCGGATGGATCAGATCATGCGTTTCTTGGATTTCAGCATGTCGGAGGGTTTGGGGAAGGGTGGAGCGAAGTCAGCTGTGTGCAACCACCCGCCTATGTTGCTCGGGGTGCAAGATGTTATGTAAACCGCCCCTTGGCTGCACTGGAAGGCTGTGTGTGTGTGTGTGTGTTTGTGTGTGTGTGTGTGTGTGTGTGTAGCATTTTGTCCCTAGTGTAGCAAAAATAGAACTCGGCTCGGGTGTGTTGACGTGTCGTACCCAGTCGGTTTATAGCTTCACAAGGCTTGGAGGGAGGAAGGGAAAGGATGAAAGAATTCAGATAGCTGAAAGAGAAAAGGGACGGAGGGAGGGGAAAAAAGAAGGAAGGAAGGTAAAGGAGGGAGAGAGGAAAAGAAGGAGGGAGGGAGGAAGGGAAAGGATGAAAGAATTCACATAGCTGAAAGAGAGAGGAGGGAGGGAGGAAGGAAAAGAAGGAGGAAGCAGGAAGAAAGGAAGGAAGGACAAGAGGGAGGGAGGAAGGGAAAGGATGAAAGAATTCAAATAGCAGATAGAGGAGGGGGAGAAAGGAAGGAAGGAAAAGAGGGAGGAAGGGAAAGGATGAAAGAATTCAAATAGCTGAAAGAGAAAAGGGACGGAGAGAGGGAAAAAAGAAGTGAGGAAGGAAGGAAGGAAAAGGAGGGAGAGAGGAAAAGAAGGAGGGAGGAAGGAAGGGAAAGGATGAAAGAATTCACATAGCTGAAAGAGAGAGGAGGGAGGGAGGAAGGAAAAGAAGGAGGAAGCAGGAAGAAAGGAAGGAAGGACAAGAGGGAGGGAGGAAGGGAAAGGATGAAAGAATTCAAATAGCTGAAAGAGAAAAGGGACGGAGAGAGGGAAAAAAGAAGTGAGGAAGGAAGGAAGGAAAAGGAGGGAGAGAGGAAAAGAAGGAGGGAGGAAGGAAGGGAAAGGATGAAAGAATTCACATAGCTGAAAGAGAGAGGAGGGAGGGAGGGAGGAAGGAAAAGAAGGAGGAAGCAGGGAGGAAGGAAGGAAAAGAGGGAGGAAGGGAAAGGATGAAAGAATTCAAATAGCTGAAAGAGAAAAGGGACGGAGGGAGGGAAAAAAGAAGGGAGGAAGGAAGGAAGGAAAAGGAGGGAGAGAAGAAAAGAAGGAGGGAGGGAGGAAGGAAGGGAAAGAGGGAGGGAGGAAAGGAAAGGATGAAAGAATTCAAATAGCAGAGAGGGGAGGGGGAGAAAGGAAGGAAGGAAAAGAAGGAGGGAGGGAGGAAGGGAAAGGATGAAAGAATTCAAATAGCTGACGGGGGAGGGAGAAAGGAAGGAAAGAAGGAAAAGAAGGAGGGAGGGAGGAAGGGAAAGGATGAAAGAATTCAAATAGCTGACGGGGGAGGGAGAAAGGA